GACTATTCCATGCTTCAAAGTCCGTCTTAACAGAGAATAGCCATTGGTCTGTATCAACTTGGACTTTGGTTGTGCTATGGTGATGACAATGGTAGAGTATTCAGAAACCCTTGTAAGCAACAGAAATGTAATAATGTATTCGACATCAATGTCTCAATACCACAGCCAGCCAGCAGTACCCACCCATTGAGATAAATAAATCTTGAGACGGACAATGAGACCAGTCCACCTCGTCAGCAATGATCATACCCCTGCTGCATCTCGATACAACGTTCATTGGATGTAATCTTCCAAGACCATGTCAGACAGGTCAGTATGATCTACCACTATAACTATCACCCAGCAAGTCACATCACCGACAAAAGGAATGGCCGTGTCATCCATTCTTTAGATGATTCTCATCCGTGGACTTGAATATCATCATCACTCCCCATCCCTCCTCTTGTATATCTCTCAGAATTGCTTCGCATGCTGATGATGTTCATATTCATGGCTTGCTGCGAGTTCAAGTTGCTTGCTCTCCCAGAGTCATCTCTAGAATTTCATACATCGTAGACATGCAGCCTCTGTTCAGACGAATCATGCTCTATTCCTTGGGATTTGAATTGTCTTGATTTTCTAGCCATCTTTTGCCGCTCGATTCTTCATGCAGACATGCAGGCATACATACGATGGATTTGTTTCACGTGTTGCAAATCACACAGCGCATCCATCCTCAACTCTTGGAGGGGTCTGGACCACCCGCTCAAGGCTAAGTGCTCTTGTCTGATGAAGTATGTGATCGTGGCGTTTCTTCGTCAAATCATCCACATATAAATATGTATATGTCAGGGTTGTACAGAGGCTCGGCTTGAGCAGGGGTTTTCTTTGCTGTGTGCAGACGAGGAGGCATCTGGGTCGTGGTAATCGTTCAGCGAGGCGCTATCAGGGGCTCAGGTGCTGCGAGCTGCTTGTATCGTAGATCAGAGGGATGAGTGGATTTGAGCAGAGTAATGTAATATCTGGAAGATCGAACGATCTCAGATATGTCTGTCTTGTCTGCATTGTGGGATGGAAGATCAAGAGACCGTAGGGAGAGGGTTCCGATCGTGTTGACTTTGTAGTTCTTCACTTGCTCGGACGTTGCTTTTAGGTAAGAAGAATGTGTGAAGCATAAGATCCTTCTCTCCCATACTCCATCTTGTAGGTGAGATGTCCGCGGCTCTTACTTGATACTTTGTGGCGAGCAGGGTATTTATCGCCCGAATGTGGATAAAAGTGATGCAGGTGAAGTCGGTACTCGGTGAACTGACTGTTTCTAAAAAGAAAGATTAAATCGTGGGGTCAATACTCTCTGTTCAGAAGCAGCGGATGGTAGATAATGTAATGAGTATCTCGCCGGTGTAAAACATCCAGCAACCGGCCAGAGCTGTTGACTGGGTCATACGCCCAGTTTTTCTCTAGATTGATTGTGATTGGAGGACCCCGTGATTCTCACAATTTGACGGCAGAGACATTTTCTGGTCTGATTGTATCATGCAGTTGCTCTGGTCGTGTGACTGGAGTTTTCGTATATGTAGCAATGAAATGAATGGAGGATTATGTCCTTCTGATTCACGCATACTTATAAGTGATAACGTTTCATACCATTTGGCAATAAAGTAGATGACGAGAAGGATCCTTTGTCCGATGTATACTGCCTGTCTTTGAATATGCAGAAACAAGGCTTTTAGGATGATGAGGCGTTGAGCGATACACTGCCTCAGCTTGAGTCCCGGAGGCTTATGTCGTCCTGTCCATGTACCTTGGTAGTCACCGACGACACATACCTTAGAAAGGTCGTTGAGTATGAGAACGATGCTGTGTCTGAGATGTACTGATGCCAGAGTAAGCCTTCCCAAGCCAACGGGCGTTGGACGATATACCCTTGAATAAAGACATAGCCATTGTATACAGAGTTTCGAATGTCTTCTCCGAATATCGAAAGTGACTTCGCATCGGCTGTACCCTTTCCAGCATGGATAAACGCTCAACGTGAAAGCTATCCAAGCGCCGCAACGATACCGGGTAGAACAACGGCAGCGGCAACCTCATAAACCTTTTCTCGAGGGTTTTGAAAGCGAACAACCTCTCGCAAGTATTCTGATTGACTCGGCGACCGGTAAGATGTCTACTAAATAACGAAATCCCGGTCGGCAAAGTCCCTAACACCATCCTCCAGTAAAGACCGAGGAAACATTTCGGAGTCTTCATATGTGGCTTCCCTCGTTCGATATCTCATCTTGCTTGTGACGAAGACGTGAAGGAGAAGGGTAATGAGTCTTCCCTTCAACCAAGAATATGATTCGTGTCTTGCTCATCGCGTATGTATGGCAGCTAGCCATGCCACGATAGATAAATTCCCCAGCCCAATGGTTTCTTTGAAAGGAATTGGGTACTCGTATTTCGAGCCCAAGGCACACCAGGCAGAGTGGACTGGAGTCATTGTGGTTTTGTTATCACGATCATCCGGCCATCGCGTTAGTTACAACACTTCCGAAATGAGGAAGAATTGTGAGCGAGATTGCTGCGATTGTTTCATAAACCACAACTCCATTCCACTCTGCCTAGGATCAGTGCCTTGTTCTGTCGGACTGTAAACTCTGCTTGCAGATATGCTGTACCGTCATTCAGTTTGTTACTTAAGACTGGCTGCTTTGTTCGACTGACATTTGATGGTATATATACCGAAAGCGCCCTGAATCTCTGGGCTAGCTCTGTAATTGCCGTTGGTAGACTCCGAGTGATCGCTTTCTCGGCTTCCATAGTCTGAGATTGGGAAGGCCATCCTGGGGAAGGTTAGATGTAGTGCGTCATCCTCGTCATGAGCCATGATTTTCAGAAATCTGGCAGTCGGCCAATGCTGGCGTTCAACCCTTGACTTCCAACGACGAGACATGGGCGTTGTCACCGCATCTTCTTCGAGCGGACGATGGTCAATCGGGATGTCTATATCATCGTCTTCGTTAAGCACCACTAACGAAGACAAGCTATCGAAGTGATAAACAGGGTGCCTATTGTTTCGGCAGTGCTGCAGTTGACGACCCATGTAGCGGACAAACATCTCCATAGAATGGCCGAAAGAAGAGGCGACGATCAAAAGAGTTGAGAGAGACTTCGCCCTTGGAGCTGCTGAGGATGTGCCTTGATGGTAAACTATACAATTCGCACACAGCCGTAACCAGTAGCTGGCAGTGAGAGATCCCACAATGGCGCTGCTGAACGCATGGGTAATAAATTGTACCCAGCTATATATGTAAAGACTCTTGAATGAATGCAGGACTAGTCAACTGCTGATGGAACACGGCATGTTCGGTCCTGCTATATGTAGGTCTCCATGAAGATAGGAAATTGGAAACTCCCGCGGTATGTCTTCATCGTGCGTCAGGGAGATACACAAGAGCGTCTTCAGTTGCAAGGTCATGCTGAGCTCCGTGTTCCCTGATGGTAAAATATGCAGCCGCACAGTGATTCCTTGACTGTGTCGCGGGACAACACACAGGCTCTGCGGCTATCAAAGCCATTCGTAGTACATTCCCTGGTGATAGGATATACAATATAGAGGATAGGAAGTCGTTATATTCGACCGGATAATTCTATCTCTTAGACACTGCTAAGGTTTCCTTTGGTGACTGGTTTCAGAGACACCCACAATACGTGCCCTGGTGGTAGAAGATGCAGTTCGAGAACAGCCTGTAGCTGGCCATTTGTCGCCGCGCATAGCGCTACAGAGATGAGGTGGCGAGATCAAAACGACACCCCTTTCTATTTGGACCATCGAGAACCGTACTTCGTGGAGAAGCAAGATGCAAATGAGTTGTGGGAATATGTCGATTGTTCCTCGCAGGCCTCTAGCTCTGCAACTCTCCTTCGATGATGGTATATATGCGCTGATTCTTATCTCCGCAACAGCCACCATAAGGGAGTGACTGAAGCGACGTACGTGCATTCCCTTAATATATGCTGGGCTTGCATAATCGTTCGTATCCAAGCTCTCCCGGATGGGATATAGATCCCGGGGACCTTCATCATGCCCTCATCAAGCGATGGAAGGTCGACGCCATTTAATGCACTTATTGGTATCCAGGTTATCGTTCGAAAGAGTCGGGACTGTGTTGTCGATTGCGCTCGAGCCACCTTGGTCTGGGGATCGACTAACGGTAGGGCCGGGTTTATGAGATAAACCTATGAGCGCCGATTCTGTGCAGCATGAAGTGAGCTCCAGTCTTCCCAATCTGTATGAGTAGGTGACCAGCGGCAGTACCGGGTTTGTGAGATAGTCCTTGGTGCACCTTGAAAGCATGGCCGGAAGGGAGCTCATTTTCCAAATCCTCCATTTTCTCCATGAAAAGAATGCATCCTGTAAGAGGTATATTCCAGGTCCGAGGATAAGCTAGAGCCTTGTCAAATGAGAATGATTGAGTTCAACACCAGTCATAGTTTTCGTAAACTGGGACTGGATACTGCGGACTTGAAGCTTTCACGTTTGATGTTGGTTTTGGGCCTTCCCTCATTGACGACAGAGTAACGGCTACTGCATCAGCTGCTGCAGAATCGACGGATGCTCGCAGCTTCATAGCCCTGGTAGCTTCGGTGAAGTCGGAATCGTGACGGAGTCGTTCATTTCTTGGGTAGTAGGCAGGACGTGGAAGCTGCCAACATAACTCCAGAGCTTGCGGGCAATGTGGCCCGAAGCTTCGGATGTAGATACTCGGTGATTAAATAGCCAACTCGTACGAGCGTAATCGAAATCTGCATGAGAAACCTAAGGCCGCTTTGCAAGAGACGTATACAATGTTGGTGGTTCAAGAGCGCCTTGCTTGTGGAGGGGCGGCATCCCAACATGGACCCATCGAAAAGCCTCGAATGGCAAAAACCAACTCTGAGTATATGATTCTGTAGAATTGTGTTTGTAGTATTAGATGGTGGCCTGGACTTTCCGGCTTCGCTCAATGGGTGCACCATATATAACAAACGGATTGTTAAAGCTTCTTCAACTTCTTAGTCGGTACCGCTGCAGAGTGGGCCATCGCTGAGCCGTTCTTCCATGATGGAGCCTCCACTTGCGTCTTATCCTGAATCATCGTTTCCAATGTCAGGCTGAGGTGACGCAACGAATATTGAGACCGTGGTAGGGGGAGGTGCAAAGCCGAGTAATCGAGGTATCCGTGCGTCTCATTTTCTCCCCAATCTCCCATTTCGAGAGTTAGTGATTGCAGTTGTGGGCACATTTTCAAATATACACGAATGGCTTTCAGGTAGTTCATAGCGTCGACCGCCATGTAGTCATTCCAGCCGTTGCGACCGTCATCTTCGTCCGGAGCCTAGCCGGTAGGGTAAGGCGAAGAGGAGCAGAACGAAGTATTATGGATCAACGAGAGTCGGCTGAATAGCATGAGTAGTCGTGTGAGACATTGAAACAATATACAGGGCCATCGAAGCAGTTCTTGTTGACGTATATGCTCAGTTTAACCCATGAGACAAGCTGCACAAAGGTGACGAGTCTCATTTGACGTTAGCCGGCTGATGGAGAGCGTTAGTGTCGTCGGAGACAGTGCTACCGCACCACCAATAGTTTCGCGGGATTTCATATGTTCGTACGCGTCTCCTGTATATCATAGTCCCTCCCTGAAGTTCACTTTGGTAGTGATATAATTAGAAGATTGTCTTGAGACAACACGTTCAAATCCTCCGCCAAGAAGCAGAAGCACCCCATGGGCACCTACTGGGAAAAGGTACCGCAAGGTATTCCAGACGTAGGTTATGTCAGAGAATGTGCCCAATATTCTTAGACGACTCTGCAGGTGATTACTGCAATGGGCACAGGGAGTTGACACTGCCCGCTCAACACGCGTCATGGCTCTACAGCTTCTCATCAATTGAGAAGGCTCAAATCCAGGACAGACATAGCGTGCCATTATTCGACTTTTCTTGACTTATGAGATTGTAAGTGACCATCTTCGTTAGGATATCTCTGTATGTGGTAACCAGGGCTGCATGTAGAGAGGCATGTCCAAAACGTGTCGACAGACCAATTTTGTAAGGGATGGTGTTCTCATTCATCCCAGCGACTTCGAACTTTCGCTTAGCTCTGCATGCATAAGGGAACTCGAATCTGGGTGATGCAGTCACCTTGGCAGATTGAGACTCTCTGCTGCCCGTCGAAGCCCCTTCCATCGAGCGTGGAGATGAGCACATCAATTTCTGGAGCTAGAACCAGACATGTAGTGCCGTGTTTGAGTGGCGGTATGCCTGAATGCTTTCCTCCGAGAATAGGTGGTTATAGCTGAAACGGAGAAGGTTGTGCGAAGCCAAAGACGACAGCAGCCCTGGAGAAGAAAGCCCGCAGCGACGGTGTATCGGAGAGCAATATAGAATCAATGGCCACCAGGGCGATTCCACGCCGCCATTTGAGCAGTTTCAACTTTCTTTCTGATTACGGAAGTTTGTTGATCAGTGCCGTAATCGGGAACTTCTGCAATTCCTTTCCTAAGGACAAGACAAGCAAGACCTGACCAGATCTTTCTTCCGAGCAGTCTACTGCCCAAGTTCCTCATAACACAGCAGCATAGTCCACGATTTGATCCATGTGCTGCCTCGATTTTCTCCACGAGCGGCCCATAGGACGGGTCGTAAGTATATGAGCTTAGCATAACCTTAGATCGAGAATGTAGAAGCACCAATATATTCTTGATTTTGACGCTCTGTTCTTAAAAGCTACCTCGTTGCGTTTTTCGCTTGCAACTGGGTGCCATAGGCCAGAACATGTCAGTGTTTTAGGGCAGGATACATGCTTTCCGCAACCTGGACGATCATGCGAAAGGATCGCTGCAATATCATTATTGAACGAAACCCATGGTTCCGTCGGTGAAAATGCTGACCCGTTGGTCGGTTCCAGTATTATCCATAATAGAGCAAACGCCAGCACGTCGCGTTCGCATTTGTATTGCGATAACTGGGTCTCAGGATCCTTTCAATCACAGTGAAGAGTCGCTGGGAAGTATATAGATGATTGGAATCTCCCATAAGTCGCCGGTTAGTCTTGGGCGAAGGCTTGCGCGGTGCCGTGTTCTAGGACGGCTAGATGGACCCCTTTATAAGTGTGGGCCCAGCTGTCATGCGGGAACGAAAGTCGATAAGTGTCACTTCGATGGTATCACTTTCAGGAGGCTGCTTTCCTCATCAAGTCAACGTGCTTATAAATCCCCGGATCCAGGCATTGGATGCATGTATATAGGCTGATGTGTCCGAGGGAGATTGACATACTTGATGGCCACATCTGTTGCCATTATGCCTCGCTGTACAAGACATTTACTTTGGGTGTATCGTCCGGAAACCAAGGGGATATATTGCATGGCTGAGAGCGAATGAAGTGAGCTGGAAATCCCCAAGATGTGCCGGAAGCAATGCTTGACCTGGCAGGTTTTATATGTTTATGACAGCAGTCTGCGAATATTGATGTTCGCAGTGGGCTTTGGCGACAAACTCGTATGCCTTTCGTTTGCTGCGCCCAACCCGTTCATGGGTACTGATATACAGGTAGGGTCGGTTGTGTTGATATATGGGGTGATTCACCGCTCGGGAAACCTTGAATAAGAAGATATTGAATGTAACTGTGAGGACGAAAGACGTCACCATGGTCTGTCTTTCGCAGATTCTTTGCGTTCTCGAAAACAGTGTGTTCTTGAGTAAGCTGCCAGTGTTGTTTATTCTGGTGATGGCAACTAGTACTGCAAAAAACATCCTGGTTGACGCTATACCGAAGATGACGTCGATTTCATCATCTCCTAGAGGCCCCGAGTTATCTAGGGACAGTCAAGATTAAGCAGTCTCCACTGCTGCCTGAAGACATGCAGGCAGGCAACTCGACCTTCGAGTTCACGTAGAATCCGTAGGCTTTGCTGGTGATTACCAAGACGTATGTTAGTTTGTACAGTGATCAAAAGCGTCTTATCTTCCGCGATCTGCGAGGTGGGGATGCTCACGATGGCTTTATCCAACTCGATGTCTATAAGACACAGGCTTAATCCTGACGAGCCGGTGATGACTCTGAGGGATATATAGAAGCCTTGAGAACTGTGTTTGCGCAAGGGGCTAATAGAGTCTGTTGGTGTTCGCTAAACTCACATATAGTGTATGTATGAGGTATCGGTGAGCTGTGGTCGTCTTGTAGTATATAGGAAGAGGCTGAATGGGGTGGGTCGAGATAATGACCACTTAATAGCGACTATAGCCCTATATCGAAGGTAAGATGAGACATAGAAGATAGTATCGATGGATTTGGCCCGAGATGATGATGAGATGGGATGTTTGAGATGAGGAAGAAAGAGAAGAGAGGGAGGTGAGAACAGAATCATTTATACCTTTGCAGAGCAGCCCATCCATCACTGAATCCAGGCATCTTCACTCCATATCTTGCATCTACGTGAAGTTGTAGAGATGTAGTGACGTGTAGCAGTGACGGGGCATCCGTGACTGATCTGGCTGTCCGTGACTGCTCTTGCTCTCCGTGACTGCGTTGATTGCAGTGAACCAAGTGTTCGGGAAGGGATGAAATGAAGCTCAAGCGGGTCAGGGAAGGTCCCAAGCAACACTAAACGAGTCAGCGCCGACTCAGCGATCCACTCGGTCTCAGCCGCTGCCAATAGTCACAAATTGGTGCCAATGGCGACTAAGCATCCCGTCCACTTTTAATTAAAGTGATCAGCGGTTCACGAATTCACATTCTCGATCAGGTACAGATCCGATTCCTATCTCCCTGGGCACAATGAAGGCCCACCTCTGGATTCACGATAAAAATCTGGTGACTGCCAACTCAAATGGCATTCTCCGTCACTCTACCCCTGCCGTTGGTTAATTCTCCGAACCCTAAATCAACAATTTTCCGCCAAAATGCATCTATCATCGCTGCTCCTAGCATCCACGGCCATCCTACCAGCTTTAGGCTACAGCATCAACGACTTCTCCTGCAATAGCACCGAACACCCGAATCCCGTTGTGCTCCTACACGGGCTAGGCGCCACCTACTACGAAGACTTGAATTACCTGCAAGGTTGGCTACAAGCGCAAGGCTACTGCACCTACGCCAAAACCTACGGTGCATATGAAGGGTTCCCCTTGGTCGGCGGCCTCAAGGCCATCGCCGAATCGGCCACGGAAATCGCCGCGTACATCCGCGAGGTGAAAGAAAAGACGGGCGCCGACAAAATCGACCTTGTCGGTCACTCCGAGGGCGCTTTCCAAACCCTCTACGTCCCTAAGTTCGAAGATGGCATCTCGGAGATGCTGGATAAGCTGGTGGCCATTGCACCTCCCACGAGAGGCACCAACCTGGCGGGGATCTATGACATTGCTTATGTTTTGGGAAATGTATCACGCGAATTGATCGGCGACATCCTGGATACAGTGGGCTGCGCCGCCTGTGACGATCTCGGCCCGGACGGAGCTGCGATTGATCGCTTGAACGACGGCGAGCCGATCGTGCAGCCGGGGAATAACCTCACGGTCATTGCATCGCGGCTAGACGAATTGGTCACCCCAACCTCCACCTCCTTTGTGCATGAAGATGGGGTGACCAATGAATGGGTGCAAGACACTTGCCCTCTAGACCCGGTCGGCCATATCGGCGAAGCCTACGATCTAAATGTGTGGAATTTGGTCAAGAACGCCTTGGACTCTACTCCGAAGCGCGAGTTTGTCTGCTCGCTGGGGTCTCCCGGCAGGTGAAGGATGGTATCTGTTGGACGTTGTATAAAAGCATATATCTTTAGATACCCAAGTTACCAGACATTAGTGTCATAATGTATAATAATACCGCCGCCATCTCCTTTCACGCCTTTGTCTCATAGATATCCAAATTCCTTCCATGCGCTCTTCTCTCGTCCACCAGTGTGGACTCGGAGCGCTCCGGAGGCTGTTGGCCTTGGACAAGATTATGTCCGTCCCTAGCGACTTGTCAGTAATGAAAGAGAAGCCAGAGGTTCTGGGCCACCATACCCAAGCTTGTTGTTGGGCAAAAATAGCGACAAAATTACTATTGGGGCAGAAAACGCCAGAGCTGCAATAGTGATCGACCTGGATATGTCAGTCTAATATCGGCTTCGAATCGTGTAGCACACGTACCCCATCACATCTGAATACTGAACGGCAAATTAGTGTTGAACTGGCCAGGCGAGGCAGATTACTTACAGCTCTGTCAATCGCTGTTCGCTCGGTTGACCCCCATGCTGGGAGAGTACCTGTAATAGAGTTGTACAGCCGATCAACCGTAGATTCACTCACCCCAGACCCCAGATGTAACCGCAGTTGTTGTCGCAGCTGTCCCGAATATATTCCTCCGGCAATTGCCGACCCTATCCCGTTGCCCAGATACGCGGCCAGCAGGACCAACGATGTGACCTGCGCGAGTTCCGCGTGCGACACCGTGATCTGTGCTGCAACAATCCCGACGGTCTCGATAATACCACTACCAATGCCTTGGACCAGTTGCACGATGAACAACTCGGCCAC